CCCTTCCTACACTCTTGCAATATTCTAAACAATGTTTCTAAACTGTAAATGCTCTGAAATAGTACAGAATGTCATGATTTCAGTTCGCCTGCAAGCGCTCTTGGCCACGCCCACTTCTCTGCTCTGCATGGTGAATAGCTGATCAGCTGCAGCAGGAAGTTTATCCTGCAGTAATGGCTGCATAAAGTGCAGGAGGAAGCTTTTTTTTTTCTTTTTTCCTGCAGTTGTGGGCTACACAAATGTGCAGCAGGTGATAAATAATTTTAAATAATTTAAAATTAAAATTACACGCCAATCATGCAGCTCATCCATCAATCAGCCAATTGTGTGTTATGTCCAATCTTATTTTGAAAAATCGCGATAGAGCGAGTCCGCAGTAAACAAACCGTGAAGTAGCGAGAGACTACTGTATACTAAAATAAACTATTACTTACTACTTCTTTCCTACTTTGTGGTTTTTCACTTATCTCTGGGCTTCAGGGTACTGATCCTCTGCCATAAACATGGGACTACTTTACCAACTTTTCTTTTCAGTTGCTTGACATTTTATGTTATTTTTTTTCTGTTTTTATCCCAAGTTTTTTTCCCTAACTTTCCCAAGCTGGCTCAAATCAAATATCCAATATGTCAGTGGAATATAGTTTGTTTTAATAACCTGGATGTGTAACCCTGATTCTCTGATATATCTTAAATGTTCTATGACCAATTAACGCCTCTAACAAGATGTTTAAACACATTCAGGACACTGTCAGGATGTTTCGATCGTGGATCTTTCCGATCATTTAACCTCAGACATGTAGCCATTTTCGTATAACGATGCAAATACAAATGTGACAGAACCACCTACTTACCTGTCTCATCTCCAGAATTACATGCTTTTATTTCCCTACTAGACAAACTGGATTCCTTTCTGAGATGGTGGTAAACAAATCAAGTAGAAGTGCAATACAAACACTTCAGAGCAAAGAGGGGGATTTATGTTGTGCAATACAAGGAAAATACTGAAACAAAACTTCATTTTGAAAGGACCTCTTAATGGTTCTCCTACTCAGACTGGTTCAACATGCTTGAATGTCTTCTGTCATTTTTTTGTTTGTTTGTTAAATTGTTTTCACTCATATTTATTTATTTATTTTTCCACTTCTGATGCAAAGTGTGGATTTTTCGCCATCCAGGACTTTTATTATGATTCTCTTAATATATATATATTTTTTTTTTAATTATTAAGATAGCTGAATATGTTTAACCCCCACCCCCATAAATAAATAAATCAATAACACTGGCAGACATTGCACTAATCTCTCTTATTTTTCACCTCAGCAGGATGCATTGTGATGAATATGTTTTCTAACCAGATCTATAAAAAAGTAAAACTACTCACTTGATAATCAGATGAAGGGATAATGTGAAACACCTAAAGCTATTAGTTTGTTATAGTCAGTGTTATTTACTCCTGGATTCACTGTTTGGCAAAGGATCAAATACAATCAAAGTGTAACAGTTTCAACAGGAATCATTTCTTTTTCATTACTTTGCTGAAAAACAAATACATGACTCAGCTTTCTCTGAAACAAATACTACTTTAGTCACAACGTAAAAAAATGTGTTGTCAGTTAAGTTTAGGATAACTTTCTGTCTCAGCTTGTTTGATTGATTTGTGTGACTTTGAAAAAAAAAAGAAGCAAAATAAATACTTGGATTTGAGTTCGGCACAGTTTACAGTTCAATAGACAGGATACTTTATGAACTGAGTACTCACGATGGCAGATTCACAGAACTATCAAACCTGGCAGGGCAGAGCGGAGCTTTGGCACGGAAAGAACGATAATCTGATCCTTACAGAGCCACTAAACTTTATTTTTAAGAAGCATACATTTCCCATAAACCATTGGTGTAAATCTGCATCTATCATTTGTTGCTCATATTTAGAAAGTAACAGTTATTTGTAATTATACAATTGAAAAATGTCCTTCTTCCAGTCTGTGTCTAAAATTAATTATTTGTCAGATATAATAAATAACATATAAAGTAGTGCACTGCAACTGAGCCAACTTCAACACATATTGCATCAGAATAGTGTAAACAAAGCCCCCAGCAGTAATTTGATTACTCTGATGCAGAGGTGGGCAACCCCCCCCCCCCCCCCCCCCAGGGCCATATCAAGAAGTTTAAAGCAACCAAAGGGCCAACACTGAATTGGAAAATAAATGTTCTTCATGTTCATGCTTTATAACATGGCTTTCCAGTATCCTTTAGGAATATAAGACACATTCTGTAAACTGGCTCTTGTGACAATATATTAAACATGGTAGCTTAGCATCTTATACATGCTAGTGGAAATATGCAAAGCAAACTTAAATATTAGTGTTTCTACGTGTTTCTACGTCGTTAAAGTTCAATCTAGTTCTGGAAACACGATTACTTAAAAAATGTTATTGTAAAAAGTTTTGCATAAGATGGTTAAGTTTCTTGAAGTATCGTCGATAAACCACTGTTGTTGTTATATTTTTTATTTTAATCAATCAATAAAAAAAAGTGTATCTTTATTATTATTATTATTATTATTAATATATTTTTTTTAAACTAAGGATATTGGGGGCCTGATGGAAATTGTCCAAGGGCCACTTTTGGCCCTCGGGCCTTAAGTTGCCCACGTCTGCAATGCCTTGTGAGGCAAATCGCTCTTTCTGACAAGAGAAGACATTGATTGTGAGTTATTGTTAACAAACAAAACAAAAGAAGACAAAGGGCAGAGTAAAATAAATGAACAATAAAAGGTGGGAATTAGAAAAGGCGACAGCATGTAAGCAACGCTGGGTGAGAGGACAGAATAAAGAAATCAGGGAGACTTATCTAAATGCAAATTTTCAAACTCATTTAAGAAAAGGCAATTTTCCCTCTCATGGTCATCTAACACATGGGGGCTAAGGAGTCCATTAAAGCTTGACCCGTTATATTTCCAGGGTTTATTTTCAGCTTTTGTTTCACTGCTTGCATGACACTAAATATATTCTGTTTTTTTTTTATTTTATTTTCCTCACAAAATATATATAAAAAAAAATGTTCAAGTGGCTTCCACTAGGCTTTGTCGTTTTAACTATAAATCTGCTGGAGTTGTTCCTCGGCAACTGGAGCATTACTTTCTTACATTTCTCCCCAGGATGGCTGTATCTGAATCAGTGCATGCAAACAACTGCTTCTGAATTTTGATCACCGGCTTCCAACCTAACTCGCATCCATCCCTGTGAGCCTTCCACATGCCTATGTGTCCCAAGATCATTTAAAGGGCAAACCAGTTTGAAGCTGGAAAATGGCCAAAGCGTTGATAAGTCGCATGCTGACACACGTTTGGTCTAACAGGATGAATGGCTGCCACGCACAGCAAATTATGAAACACTGTCACGATGATAGCACGTAGAAAGGCCTTCCTCTAATAAAGCACCCAGCATGCCTCAGTGCTCCTGTAGAGAAACTGGAGCAATCGCTGTGAGGACGCGTTGCAAGCCATTTTAGCCGTCTCAGAACGCTGCATTTAAATGTGCAGAAACAAGCCCACTGAAAATGTGAGCGAAACTTAGACTCAGGAACACACACACACACACACATGCGCAGATGTTGCCTCTGGGGTTAAGAACGTCTGTCTCCCACTAGAGTGTGACAGCAAGCAGACACAGAGTAATGAGATTCACTGCAGAGAGCCAGTCAGCGGCTCACCAGGAGTAAGACAGAGAGGCAGAGACAGAGATACTCACACTTTGGATCATGTTCTATGTCAGTCAACAAATTTTCCACCACAGTAGATGTATCATGGGGGATTTGTTGTGTGTAATTACACTGTTAGCTGATGAGGATTGCAGAAATCATATCAATGATTGCAGTATTACCATAGTCTCTCCCTGTAAGTTTATAGATCAAAACGAAGCTTTAACCTCCCGAGACCCAAGCTTTGTGTTCATTTTCTCTTTGTCCAAGGTAGAGTAGTCCCTCATTTATTGTGGGGGTTCGGTTCCAAACACCCTACACAGTAATTGATATATATATATAAATATAAATATATATATATATATATATATATATATATATATATATATATATAAGTCTTAAGAAAGCCTTCCCACACTCTTACAATGTTCTAAACTCTTACATAATTTTAACAACACACATACATTACTACATATGTAGCTACTAAACTTTACTAAACAGGTTCTGCAGAACAGGAGCAGCTCTCGTTCCAGTCCGACTGTTCCGGTCTATACTGTTCCAATCCAACTCTGTTCCAGTCCGACTTGATACTATTTCTGCAGACATATCCTACAGTGATGAAGCTCACAATCAATGTTCTAAACTCTTAAACCTACTCATTTCAACAACATACTTATATGTAGCTAATAAATTTTACTTACAAGCACGTCGGAGGTCTGCGTGTGCTAGCTAGGTTCACCGCTGAGTCTGGAGGTCTGGTTCTGGTCCAGTTCAGTGTGTGTGCATGTGTGTGTGTTGGGGGGG